ATAATTCAATTTAGATCTCATACGCACTGCCTCCTTTCTAGGCCAGGCCTTCTAAAAGATACCTATAGCCTCAGGCTGTATGGATAAATACAGGATAAATCTTGCTACAATTATCAGAAATTTGGTTTAGATATAAATTCTCCAGATTCTTCCCCTTCAATGGTAGGTACTTAATTTTCTCTCTATTCCAGTCTAAACTACTATTCCAAGTATTGTTTTTCCCCTAAACATCTTTCACCTTCTTTTCAAATATATTTCAGGTAGTTCTCATTTGGCAAATAACTTGTTTAATGACCATTCAGTTATGATGGTGATGAAAAAGTAATTTTACAACTAGTCATTACCTTTATGACCTCAGTTCATAAAAGAAAGTAAAACTGAGGTAAGATCATAAACACCATTGCAGTTTCATTTAATGACTGCTTCACTTAACAAGAGTTGGCAATACCAGATGAGAACTGTCTGTACTCTGCACATTCAGTGGCATGAGAAGTTCAGACCTTCCTTTAAAATATATATATATGTGTGTGTGTGTGTGTGTGTGTGTGTGTGTGTGTGTGTATGTATATGTATATATACATATACATATACATATACATATACACACATATACATATATATATATATATATATACTTAAAGTCACAACCCCTGGTATGCCCAAGTATGGGAGGAAGGTCACACTTCCACTCTCTGTCATTAGGCTCGTCACAAGAGACCATACAGACAGAAACCCAATATTTTTTACTGTTGCCTCACATATATATATGTGAGATGGGAGAAAATACAATTGTCACTCTTGCTAATAATTTCTGTGATTAGTATCTGCTTTAACAGCTGACGTACCATTGAAGCAATAGCAGACAGGTATATCTAAATTTGTGTGATGGGGGAAAACATGAGTTAAATATAAAATATTACAAGAAATAGAAGGGTGTCGGAGCTAAAAGGTCATGTTTGAGATTTAGGTGGCATGGATACTTATGGTAGGAATAAAGCTAAAGTAATAAAGTTTTAAAAATAATTACGTTAGACGTGGCCTGTTGGGAATATGGAAGAGATATAAACCAGGTTACATCCAAAAACACTTTTGTGGCAGTCATAACAAGAAGCATTTAATAGATGGGAAATGCTTAACAAACATAAATAGTTAACTTATTTTGACATACTAGAATTTTGTCAGGGAAATCAAGAGTGGTTCTGATTGCAGAAAGATGTATTTTTCAAAGGTTGTTTCATGTATAATAGCTAGAAAGATTTAAAGTAGATAAAATAATTTTTGGTTTTGAATATTTTAAGACTAATCTTGAAAATAGTATTGTGTACAAGTAATGATCGCATTATTTCTAAAGTATAAACTTTTATTGAAATTTGCAACAAGAACATGTGAAAGAATATGACAAAATTGGCTAACAATTTTGATTACAAATCAAACAGACAAAGAATATATGGATTAAAGGACTGAAATTTAGACTGTTATAATTGCAAAAGAAATTATATGCCCAAAACATTGGTATATGTCATTAGAAAAAATATCTAGAATGTATAAACATTTTTTTAATTTATATTGGAAATGTGAGGGGATAGTTTATCATGCTTGATGGATATATAAAAAAAATTGGACTCTACTCATACTAATTCAGAAGATTTGGAAAATTAACACAAAATTGAAATCAGAGATGTCTCTTTTGAGACTGATGGAACTTTATTTTTATATATGACAATTGCAGTGAGATTATTATATTGTATACACAAAGTTGGAAAGATTTGACATTACCCACAATGGTAAAATGGATGGTAAAGGAGATGAAACTTGCTGGGATCACTAATTAACATTTTAGATTAGAGAAAATATATTAACTTAGTTTAATACTGAAAACCTCTTGTAGACTTTTTGCATAAAACAGAAAAAATGAATTCATATGGCTTTAATGACTAGAAAAATATAGATTATAGAAAAAAAGGAAGTCATGCTGTAACCATATAGTAAGAATTTAATTTATACTTCCAACTGATATAAAAGAAAACTGGACATTTCTGTTTTATATTTACTTTCTTTTTTCTGCATTTTAGCTTTAACTTTTTTTCTTTCTTTATTCTAAAACATTGGCTTTTAGTTAATTTTTATCTTTATTTTTTAAAACTGTCATGGAAGTTATTTTTTAATGAAAAGAATCATATGTTTGAGAATTTTGTGAAATTGCACTTTTAGTAACTTGCAAACTGTGGATGTCACAGGAGGCAACACCACTGAGTTGGTCTCAGGTGATTTTGAAAAAAACATTACTCAGGACCAGCCTAGTTAGTAGTTAAATGAGAGATCACAGCTACATTGGAAAGTAGCTGGACAGTCTAAAAAGTCTTCCAGAAATTGTTTATGCCTAACTAGGGTTCCATTGTGGATTACTGTCTGTCACTTCCCCTCCTGTCTAGAATTGCATCCCATAAATTGGAATACAGCATCTCACATACATTTTAAAAAAGCAGCGAAGCAGGAAAAAGTAGGAAAAAATGAGCGATTCGTGACTTCTTGCCAGAAAGAACAGCTTTGCTAACTCAGGGGCAAATTTCATCTATTTGAAGGCTGCTGCCAAGTAGAATAAAAGTATTAATAATAAAGCAATAGGCATCCATCAGGGCAACAAAGAAATGAGGGACGAAACAAAAATTTCAAGGCAACTCAGCCCCTTAAGTTTTTTTGTGCAATGATGCAAAGCAAATGCAAAAGGGTGGAACTGGCATTGTGAAACCATAGCAAACATTTTGTTATTTTGGCACCATTGTGGCTAGGAACAGATGTCTCGGGTAGGGGCGTAAGCTTTTGCTCAACCCCAAAACAAAATATTAAAGAATGGAATCTCAAGTGAACAAATTTGCTTGCAAAAGTTATATATTCCATCTTCCTTTTTTGCTCCAAGATGAACACAGGAAAAAAAAATGTTGGGCTATGTGGATGCCGTAAAGAAAACCTTATAATGCACAGTGCTTGGTTTACACATGCTTTTCTCTTCTTGAACAATTTGGAGAAGAAATAAAGCAGCTGAATTTATTTTCCTTTTAGCAAACTCTTGATTATTTGACTGCAAACAAGGAACTATGGCTAGTTGTTAAACACACTACCAGAACAATGCAAAGTTCAGGATTGATTTGTTTAGCACTCCACTAGAGTCTGCTTTAAAACACAATTTCTAGTTCACATGTAATAAAAACTTAGAAACGGAGAAAGTAAAATAAATTCTATTGTACTCCTCTATTTTACTATATTAGTGGGTGAGGCTATTCTATTCGACACCTGGCAGGTGAATTTTGCTGAAAATGGACAGATGGCTGCCAAGTCCTTGTGTTGGTTTTCAAAAATACCATCATATTTTCTACAGATTTGTCTTCCAATAAATTTAAGCCACTGAGGCTTGAGGGCACTTTTCGCCTGAAATCTCAGCCTATCCTTTATGGTCGGACCTTGTAAGACCAGCAGAATATAATATAAATAATGCCATATAGCATCCGCCCTCACAATCTAGATTTCTACATGACCAACAATTCCTGCAACAGAGGTTTAGGAAGAAGGCATAATCTCTGACAGCCTCCTGTCCAAGTCTACTCTGGATGTCCGATATCAGACTGTAAGGTGTGACAATGCATTTAACTCATCGATAGGCCAAAAGAAGAGCTTAAGTAGACCCTTGAAAAAGAAATAGCTTTTAATTTTGATCAAAGCAAAGAGCTGGGTAGATCATACCACGGTCTACACACAAGGTGCATGTAAGGAAGGCCACACCTTGGGGAAGATATGGAATCCTTTTATACCTTCAGAGACATCAGCTTAGTACCCAATTCTGCCCCTCTGGCGCATGCCTTCCTTGTACCCCTTCATTGGCTGTGCAGCAAGGAACATGGGGCCTGACTGCTTCGCAACTGAGGGGCTGGGTGCTTGGCAACAAAGGTAATTTGCCCGATGTAACCCTGCCAGCCCATGACACACCCAACACCAGGCACTGAGTTGTGCACAAAAACAAGATGACAGGAATTAGATCATTGGTAGAAGCAAATGGCAGAGACAATCCTAATTCTTACAGAAGCGAAATAGCAAGTTATTATTTTGGCCCAGTAATTCTACCTATTCTGCTATTATTATGTCCCTTCAAGACTTTTAAACTTTTACAAATAACTTTCAATTTAACAACTACAATTGGGACCAGAACCTCTGTTCCTGCGTGAGGCAATCATTAAATGAGTCACACCCAATTTTATAACCTTTTTTGCTGCAGCTGCTAAGCGAATCACTGTGTTTTTTAAGTGAATCATATGGTTGTCAAGCAAATCTGGCTTCTCCCACTGACTTTGCTTGTCAGAAGCTGGAATGATAATCACATTACCCTGGGATACTACAACCCAGCAGTCCCGAACCTTTCAGGCTTCATGGACTGGCAGCAGCAGTGGTGACCGGTGGTGGTGGTGGTGGTTTTGTTTGCCCACTACTTGCACGAATGGAATTTTGCACGCTCTCTCACCCACCACTTGTATGACCCAGTTCCCAAAGGGCCAGAGACCGCTAGGGAGTTGGAAACTCCTGCTACAACATCTGTAAAAACATGTTTACGAGCCAGGGTAGGCCTCAAAACTTCCAGCAATGGGTTTGCTGCCCCATTGCCGGGTGGATGTGGCAATAGTGGGCCTAGCCTAGTTAGTCTCCTGTACCTTGGTGGGGGGGCTTTTTTGCCCTCCCCGGGCTCTGGAGGCTTTCCTCGAGCCTTCGGGAAGGCAAAAAACTGCTTCCCGCAGGCTCCGGAGACCCTCTGGAGGCTGGAAACAGGCCCATTTCTGGACTTCCGGTACTAGGCCTGTTTTTCACCTTCTCCAGGCTCCGGAGGCTTTCCTTGAGCTTCCATAAGGCTCTGGAGGCCCTCTGGAGGCTGGAAACATGCCCGTTTCTGGACTTCCAGAACCTCCGGAAGGCCCCCTTTTCACCCTCTTTAAGCCTCCGTGTGGGCAGGCACTTACCTGGCATGATGAACAGGTTGCGTGGAAACTCCTGGGAGAGGAAGAGTGGGCGGAGTCAGCATTTGGGGGTTCACTGAATCGGGCAGAATCCTAGCTAGAGGATTACCCAAATCCCCTACTACTACTACCCCCTTAAACTACTCAAAAACTGCTGTAAAGCACTGTGGAGTGGTATATAAATCTTACTGCTGTTGCTAGCCAAGCACCCACATTTTGATCACATAATCATGGGGTCATTGCAATGGTTGTAAGTGCCAGGCCTGGTCATAACTTTGGTCGCTAAATGAATAGCCATCAATCAAGGAATACCTGTAAGCTAACTGACTCAAGAGAGCCAATTATTTCAGCAAATATGCCTATTGCAGAGTGTCCCACGCCTAGCATTTTAAGTTTTTGGGGGGTTTAGTTTTTGATAGGAGCACCAGCAACCACAGAGAGTTTGCTCTGGTTTTCTCAGATAGCAGGACCAGCTATCACAGTGTCTTTGCTTGTGGCTGAGAATCCCATGCTTCCAGATTTCAGCAGTCTTGGAAAAGCTGGTCCCTTAGGTTTTCCTTGGTGCTTTTCTGGATTGTGGAGATTGGGGGACAAGTTTTAGTTGGAGTAATTTCATTAATGGGGGTTTCTTCTGTGATTAGAGAGGGGTGGTAGCCGCATTCCTAGGTTTCTCAGCTATTTTGGTTGCAGGCAAAGTCTTTTTAGAAGCCTCTCAATTCTCCAAGCTTGGAACACTGCATTGTTCTACTCCTGTATTCTTGTGTGGTGCTTGGGAAGTGATGCTGGTCACACCAGGCTCATTGGCTGCAATTGGATGGCCTAATTTTGTGGGTTCATTGGTTTCCACAAGGGTCTCTCTTGCTGAAGGAGACTGGGGCTTTATGGCCTCTTTGCCATTGATTTTGGGGGCTGCAGAGGTGGAGGAAAATCTTTCTTCATCACCACACAAATGGCTTCCTTGGAGACGAGCCCTACAATCTTGGAGGTGCCGTCTCCTAAGGTCTTGCCGGTCTTCTCTTCCTTCAGGACAATACTTTTTCTTGATTTGCCAATTATCCCAGAGATTGTGACATGTTTGGAAGTTTTGGGAGTCATGCACTGTGAGAAATCAAACAGAGAAAGAAAAAGGATGATTTGCAGACAGGATGGTGAAGGCTTCATTCTCAAAAGTAGTCAATTATTTAGGTGATAAAGGACTAATACATTTCAACCAGAAGTTTCCCCCAGGGAAAACGATTTCATTCACCTTATTTTCCCCCACTCGTTAAAAGTTCCCCTTGCATATATATGCTAGTCATTCCCGACTCTAGGGGGCGTTCAAAGCTGAAGAGCCAGCGCTGTCCGAAGACATGGTCATGTGGCCGGCATGACTAAACACCGAAGGTGCACAGAACACTGTTACCTTCCCACCAAAAGTGGTCCTTATTTTTCTAATTGCATTTTTACATGCTTTCGAACTACTAGGTTGACAGAAGCTGGGACAAGTAATGGAAGCTCACTCAGTTACGCGGCACTAGAGATTCAAACCGCTGAACTGCCGACCTTTCTGATTGATAAGCTCAGCATGTTAGCCATTGAGCCATCCCATTGGTTACTCTGTTGTAATTTTGTGTTTGAGATGGAATGCACTGGATCCCTTCTATAATTTCAACCCAACGTAGTGATTCTGTGATATTCAGATGGAAATACATATCAATGGAATTGGAAGGATTGTTGAAATTTGCTTTATGGATCTCCTTGGATACTTCTGTTCAAGGATGGTAAATACAGAAGATGCTTATTATAATGTACACTAAATACAGGTGGTCCTTGACCACAATTAAGCCCAAAACAGTTAACTGCTAAGTAAAACAGTCATTAAGTGAGTTCTGCCCCACTTTACCACCTTTCTCGACACTGTCATTAAGGAAATCACTACACTTGTTAAGTTAGTAACACGTTGTTAAATGAATCTGTTCCCCATTAACTCTGCTTGTCACAAGGTCACAAAAGGTGATTACATGACACTGAGACATTGCAATAATTATAAATATATGCCTGTTGCCAAATGTCCAAATTTTGATCAAGTGGCCCTGGGAATGCTACAATGGTTGTAAGAGTGAGAAATAGTCATAAATTGCTTTTTTCAGTGCTATTGTAACTTTGAGCAGTCACTAAATGAAATGTTGTAAGGATTACCTGTATTGACTTCAGACTTTTATCAGTTGAAGGCACAAAAAATATCAACCAGCTGGAACAATTCAAAGTGTATCACTATTAAAAGTTTTTCAATTCTGGGTGTTGGAGTCCACCCAGGGTTGCATTCCTGCCAGTTCTAACCTCTTCTATAGAAGAAGTTCCACAAATCTACAATGTCGTTTAGAACCGGTTCCAGCTCCCTTCCCCCGCCTGTCCACACATCATCAAGATGAAGAGTGAGAGGAGGAATTCTGGGAGTTGAAGTCCACAAGTCTTAAAGCTGTCAGGTTTGAACACCCCTGGGTTTTTTTTTCTAAAGGGTTAGAGGTGCAAGGGTCTTGTAACTTGACAGCTTTAAGACTTATGTGCTTCAAATGCCAGAGTTTCTGAGCCAACATTTTGGTTGCTAAGCAAGGGCGATGTTAAATGAGTTTCACCACATTTTATAAGTTGGCCATGCCCACCCAGTCACATGGCTGGCAAGCTATGCCCACCTGGTCACATGGCTGCAAACCACACCCACAAAGCAGGCCACACCTACAGAAGAGGTGCTAAAAAAATTTGAAACCCACCACTGAGTCCACCGTTCTAAAAGCTTGCAGGGTTGAAAAATGCTGCACTATTAGAGACCTGAGCCTTAAAACAAATTCCCGCCATCCTCCTCCATTCTTTAAATCAAGGGTCCCCAACCCCCAGTCTGTGGACCAACACTGCTCCATGGCATACCAGCAACCGGTCTGCGCAAACAAGCAAACCCCATCCGCAGGATGCATGCAGCACGTGAATCTATGCCCCCTCTGGTCTGTGGAAAAACCTCTCTTCATGGAACCGGTTGCTGGTGCCCCAAAGTTTGGGAGCCTCTTTATATCATAGTCCCCCCTTTAGACCAATTACCTTAGTACCATCCTTGCTTGATTTCTTCAGCCTCTCCAATGAAGAAGACAGAATGCTATAGAGGGTTACAAATTTAACACTGTTTTTTCCTTTAGCTGCAAAACAAATGAAACAAAGGTCAACTATGAAACGGCAAAAGCTAGGGATGGTCAATCTGTCAGTGTCATTTTCTCTTAGTTTTTCATTTTTACCAATTTTGCCATATTCGTCTCGATTCACTTACATAGATCAATTGCATGCAGACATTTGCAAACTGCTCTGCTGAATTTGGAGAAGGGCAAATTTGGACTCGTAGTCAATACCATAATTTAATTCAATTACTTCGTTCAGTTCAGAAAGGGATGTTCTACAACGATCATGGGTAACCCATACTGCTATTGGTCATTTTAATTGAGATTTATTCCTACCTGTGCTTATTGCAGATTTCATTTTGCTCGTGGCTACAGGCTCCTCCTTTCTAATAAGACAGAAAGATTAAATCAGACAAATTTAAGGAACTCTAAATAATAATAATGATATATTGAATATACCTCTAGATCTCCATTCTTATTAGTTTTGTCTTGCATAATGTTCGAAAGTAAGCAAGCAAAATTTAAAAGTCAAAATGCATCCATCAAAACCCTCAAAACGTGAATTTTTCATCAGGCCTGGGAATCTCCTGACGGCAGAGTGCCTGTGCGTTGATAGCACCACATATAACATCTTAATAAAGATTCTTGAAATCTTGCTTATATTTATGCTAATAATTTAGTTGTTTAAATTGGCTTTTATATTCTGTTTTAATAGTTGATTTCATTGTAGGCCACCCAGATTCGCCACCTATGAGCTGGATGGTCTATAACAGTGATAAGTAAATAAATAAAATCATTTACAAATGCTTAATTGATCTTTAGAGTTAGAACCCTGGGGCAATACGTTTTTAAAATAAGTCTGTGGTAGAAATAAACAATAGTTTTGTCAACTCCAATCTATGTTTGGTGTTTTAGAAAGGGTTTAATTTTCAGCCAGAACACCATGTGTTGTTTAGAGTAGATGTCCTCAACCCCCTGGACTGCAGACTGGTTGGTACCGATCCACAGTCCATTAAGAACTGGGCCACGCAGGTTAGTGAGGCTTCATCTGCGCATGTGTGGGATCTACGGAGCATGTGAAACTAACACCAACACCACTCCCCAGCCCATGGAAAAATTGTTTTCCATGGAACCAGGTCATGATGCCCAAACATTCCAGAGAAGTTTAATTTAAAACTGCTCTTATTACAGTTAAATGGATATTTGAGTGATAGACAATGACAAGCAAATGCTGAAATAAACAATTGGAAGGAACAAAGGGTTCCACAAACTGGTTTTTCCATCTTCAGACAACAGATTGGTGCAAAGAAAGGTCAAGGGAAGCCAATAGATGTAAGAGCTGCTTAGGAGAACCTTCAGTATAGTTACTATAGTCCTTTACTTAGGACCACAGCTAGAAGTGGAACTTCTGTTACTAAGTGATGTAATTGTCCCCAAAGGTGCCTTTTCAGGAGGTAACTAAACATTCTTATTTTTTATTTCTTATTTTTTTTTAAAGGGAAAAGCGGGGGGGGGGGGGGAAAATCCACTTGAATAGAATAGAATAAGAGAGTTGGAAGGGACCTTGGAGGTCTTCTAGTCCAACCTCCTGCTTAGGCAGGAAACCCTACCCCACTTCAGAGAAATGGTTATCCAACATCTTTTTAAAAACTTCAGTATTGGAGTATTTACAACTTCTGGAGGTAAGTTGTTCCACTGATTAATTGTTGCCTCCTGAAAAAGCATCTTTGGGACAACCATGACCTGGATGACAGAATTTCTACAGACCTTTAGCTATACAATTTGGGATGAACATCTTTTGAATGGTGTGGGAGTAGGAATGGATTTCCAGAGGAAAACAACTTGCAGACTACAGGAACCAGGAGCACCACTCAGGTGACCCTGAGGACACAGATAAACCCCCAAGTGCTTCAATGATTCTCTAAAAGGATGCAGATTATCAGCTGCCTGCAAGGAATATAGTATCCTTTCAGAGTTGAAGAAGCTTTTTGGATGAGAAGTGAAACATCTTCAAAAGAAAAAAACAAGAAAGTCTAGTTGCCTCCTGAAAAAGCAACTTTGTGACAACTATGACCTGGAAAACTGAGAATCTCTACAGACTTTAATTGTGGTGTTTGTTAAGTAAATCATCACATGACGATGATTTTATATCCTTTTTTTTGCCTTAAATGAAACATGATTGTTAAGTGAAGGCATAAACTTCAACTTCATATTCCTACAAAGGCCCACTATGTTCTCAAATTCCTGGTGGAAGAACCAGGTGTTACGGGCCCTTGAAGAAGGACAAGATAGGGGCCACGACTCTATGGGTGGATGTTCCTTCAGAGGACAGACATGATTGCAGAGAAGGGCCACTTTCTGGGTTTTAAAAATGTGTGGTGCCATTTAGCCAATAGGATTTGAAGCTTTTGAATTCTGATCAAACATTTAAGACATGCAGACACCACAAGAGATAGATTAAGGTCCCTCAAACAACCAAGTCGTGCCAAGATTATACATCTCATTTTGAACCAACATACCCGCTCATTTCCTGTTTTCCTATGGTTTTACTTTGATCTTTGTGGGATATAACTGCATTCAATAATTTGTTGGGAAGGTTGCTCAAATTTGCATCAATTGTTTCAGAGGTCCCCACAGCCACTGTCTTGCAGATGACTTGAGAAGTCTCCACTCCTACTGACATTGTGACTCTGTGAACTTGGTGCCCAGTGTCATTTTGAGAAGTGAGATGTCCCTTTTCTGGGTAAATGTTTGAAAAATCCTGTGGCTTGTCCCCCTGAATCATGCTTGGGTTCCCCAAATATTTATTACTTTTACTGTTTTGGCTCTGGTTGGCTAGATAAGAAGGATTAAGTGGAAAGCTTTGTTTCTCAAAATCTATTTTTGATTTCCTTTGGACACCCTGAGATGGACCAGCTCCCGCCAATGTAGAATAAGCCTTTGGTTCAACTCTGGATGCAGGTTGATTTTGTTGTGGTGATTGGCTGTGGGATGGCGGTCCAGGTGACGTTGCTGGACCAGGATTGTTCCTCCTTGATGTAGCAGCAGGATCCTCGTTCCTCAGGGCTTGAGGGTTCTTGTGTAATGGGGATGCCATTTTGGTCTTTTGTAACAAACATAGTTCTTTCTTACTTTTTTGAAGTGTGACTGGGATGGGATTAGATTCAGATGATATTCTTGACGAAAAGCGCTTCCTTTTCTCAAAGTTGCACTCCCTGACATTCTCCAGATGATCTGCTGATGAAGGTTGCTCAGGTGCCCTGGAGGTGAAGCCCCCAGAAGTCCATTTGGAAGTTCGCCGTTCCTGCGACTTGGGCTGGACCTTTGCTGACTCCTTAACTGCAGACTCCTTCTTCAGTTTAGGAGCTGAATGCTGATCCTGCTCTCTTTTTTTCTGTAATGAAAGAAAGATATAGTATCATGGTATTATCCCAGAAAGCTTGGGTCCTTTTACCCAGTATGCAAGCCAAATAGGTGGAAAGAAAAACTCTTATTTGTAAATAAAAAGGTCGCCCAGATGCAAGTTCCAAATGGACATTCCCCTTGTTTGGAGTGGATCCCTTTTCATACAATTTTGAAAAGGATATATTGCCATGAACCAATCAGGGGAGCATAAAGGAATCCCTGCAGATTTTATTCTGCTAGTCATTACCTATCAACAGGTAACTCGACCTACGACCACAATTGAACCCCTAACTTAAGTTGCTAAGTGAAACAAGCTTTCCCCCATTTTATGATCTTTCTTGTCACAGTTGGTAAATGAATCGCTGCAGTTGTTAAGTTAGTAACACAGTTGTTAAGTGAATCTGGTTTATCCATTGATTTTGTTTGTCCAAAGGTCACAAAAGGTGATGACATGACCCTGGAACACTGCAACCATCATAAATGTGAGACAGTTGCCAACAGTCTGAAATTTGACCACATGACCATGGAGAGGCTGCAACAGTTGTAAGTGTGAAAAATGGTCATAAATCACCCTTTCAGTGATGTTGTACCTTGGAATGGTCACTAAATGAACTATTGTAAGTTAAGGATTATCTACAGTGCTCATCTCTGTTTCAATCCTTAGAGCAAACATCATTAAACCAATAATTAAAATTACATCCATAAAAGTGAAGAACCAATGATTAAGGAAGTAAATAAAGTAGGCCTTTTGAAGACAACTAAGTTAAAAGCTGACTAAGAAAGACGTAATTGATAAGCGAGCTGAAAATTGGAAAAGCAAAGCTATGAATGGCCAATACTTGAAAAGTATTGAAGGCAAAGCTGATCAAAAACTAACTTGGAACTGGTTAAGATCAGGAGTACTGAAAAAAGAAACAGAAGGCTTTATTTTGGCAGCTCAAGAATAAGCCTTAGCCACAAACTGCATAAAGGCAAAGATTCAACATGTTATCACCAACAGCAAATGTCGCCTGTGTAATGTGAAAGATGAGACAGTCGACCACTTGATCAGTGGGTGCAGCAAAAATTCACAAACTGACTGCCTACAACGCCAGACCGCGTTGCTAAGATTGTTCACTGGAAATTGTGCCAAAAGTTTGAATTTGAGTACAGCAAAAACCACTGGGACCATCAGGTTGAGAAGGTTTTAGAGAATGAGAAAGGCAAGATCTTGTGGGACTTCAGAATCCAGACTGCCAGGCACTTGGCCTACAACACACCTGACATAACAATAATTGAAAAGATAAAAGAATGGTTCATTGACATTGCAATACGTGATGATGCATGAATTGAAGATAAACAGCAAGAAAAAAACACAAAATACCGGGAGTTGCAAATTGAGGTTAAGCGATTGTGGAAAAAGAAATCATGTGTTGTCCCAATTGTAATTGGAGCCCTTGGAGCAATACCCAAGGGCTACCTTGCTATTTGAAAATTCTAAATTTACCTGACTTGAACATTCTGACTCTACAAAAAACCACCCTACTTGGAACAGCTTATATCCTCCTATGTTAACTTAACAGTTCCTAGGTCCTTGGTTAGGACTCTAGCTGTTGAGCTACCAACCAGCCCCAAAGGCTTTGAATCTCACCAAAGATTAACCACATACTAATAATAATTCTGAAATAATTCTGAAATAATTCTGGAAGCAAATATGCAAAAATGGAAAACAGTTCTAACAGCAAATGGGGAGAACAATGGTGTTCAGACGAGGAATCTTCCAGGGGGACTTCAATATTGCTGACAATAATCCTACAAAACACAAAACTAGGACACCAAACTAGGATACCAAATCTCAAACCAGCATGGCAGGATAAACCATCTACTATACATGGATGGCTTAAAATATATATACAAAAAGCCCCACTGAACTTAAATCAATACTCAACACAGTTCAACTGTTCAGCAGTGACATCAAAAAATGTGTTATATTATCCATGCAGAGAGGAAAAATGAAAAAAAAATAGAAGGAATAGAACTGGGAAATGGAAGCATAGTGAAAGCATTAGCAAAGGATCATGGTTACAAATACCTAGGCATATTGGAGGCAGATAACATCTTGAATGGAAAAGTCAAAGAGTCAATGCAAAAGGAATACATCAGGACGCTCCGCAAAATATTAAAACCAAAGCTGAATGCTGGAAACATAATTAAAGCCATTAATACATAGGCAGTTCCAGTGATACGCTACTCAACTGGAATAATCAACTGGATTTTATAATGAAAATGAATTCCATGACCATGAGAGCTTCTAAAGTTTTTTTTTACATGACCACTTTTAATTGAATAAAGACAATTCCTTTTGGAATTCATTCTAGAAAGAGAACAAGGGGAGTTGACCATAGCTGGCCCACTGAGGCTCAGTCATTCTTTTCTTTCCACTGCATGGGAAATCCCAGTAGACACCTTTCCTCATCCTGACCAAGAAGGGAATTAGGGAATTTATATTCCCACCTAATAGGAAGCACTAGATGAGAGAATTTCATGAGACAATTCTTCCTGTAGAAAGGGAGGCAATGATGGTTCTGGATGTTTTAGACTACCATACTCATAACCCCTATTACTTTACATGATTTCTCATTTGAAGGACCTTTATTCCATAATTTATTCTTCTTCAGAAGCTTCTTGGGTGAGAAGCAAAACATCCTCAAGGAAAAAAACGAAGTCCAGTTGCCTTTGAAAAAGCACTTTTGGGACAACCATGACTTGGATGACTGAAAATCTCCATAGACATCCATTCCAGGCTGGTTTGCCAGTGAATTTCACCACCAGAATGTGTTTTAAGTTTGTCAAATCTTACTACATTTTAAATTTTAGAAATGCTAATTAATTGGATTATTTATACCATTGCATTATATGACAAGAGTCACAGAAAGGTTTTCCCCCTCGTGCCATCACTCCACTGAACACTTAATTCTTGCAGTTTTGTCTAATGTCTATGTATACAAGTAGTCCTCAACTTAATAACAATTCACTTAGTGAGTTGTTCAAAGTTACAAAGGCATTGAAAAAAGTGACAGGACCGTTTTTCACACTTATGATTGTTGCAGCATCCCCATGTTCATATGATTTACATTTGGATGTTTGACAATTGGCATAGGGAAGAACCTAGTTCCTTGAGTCAAGAATATCCAGTTAAATTCTTGACCCGGCACTTCTTCTCCAGCACTTCTTGCATTTTCCAATTTTATCTCACCTCCGGGACCTTAGCTTACAAAGGGTTACTTTTCCATAAAGTACAAACCTCAGGTTTCTTCCCAGGGAGGTTTTCTGGAGTCTTGATCTTGCCACTGGTCAGGCGTGTCAGGTAAATCAGGCGCATCCAGCATTCAAAGAGAAAATCCACTTTCTCGTCCGTGCCCAAGAGTTGCAGGTAATACTTGTCCCCCGTGGGCAGCTGCATTTTCAGCTGCCGTTTGCTTGAGTCATGAACAAAAATGTCCACCAGGTCCAGTGGGATCAACCTGTAGGTGAGGAAAAGCAACACAAGAACTCAAAACTTTGCAAGGAGGCCTGGGAGATCAGGATAGAGAGGGCAGTGCCAGTCTTACCGGGTGATTTCTAATGCTCTAGACTTCAGGTTTCTATTAGTTGTTTCTTGTTTTTCCCGGGCAATAATCATCAGATCAGGAAGGAGTAACTTGGGGCTGCTGGCTAAAATACCTATGACTACTACATTGGGATGCTTGTGGATGTTAATGAATTGGCCGTCTTTGTTCACCTGTATGGAGAGAAAAGACAAAGGTGCCCTGAGATGCCTTTATGTAACTTTAGAATCTGGTTTTTAATGATCTCATAGAACAGTGTATTGTTTGTTAAATTTATTTCCTGCCCAACTCGCAAAGGGGCTACTCTGGGTGGTTTATAAGAGTAAAAATGGAGAAATGAAAAATAAACATAACATCCACAGACACCCCAGTGTATAGGTATTTTAGCAACAGTATCAAAGTAAAGAAGCCATGAAGATAAACAACGGAATCAATAAACAATTAAAAGTCATGTGAGATTAAAAATGGATAGAGGGGAAGCAAGGATGACAAAAAGGAGGTGGAATTTGCTATCAGTCTAGCCTTATTACTTAGGAATAAGTATCATTTTGTTACTAAATGAATACAGGTAGCCCTCGACTTATGTCCACCCACTGAGTGACTGTTCAAAGTTCAAATGGTGCTGAAAAAACTGACTACCAACTAGGGGTGGCCTTCAAAAAATTCAGCAATAGGTTCTCTGCCCAGTTGCTGGGTGGCATGGTCATGGTGGGCATGGCCTAGTTGACCTTCTGCACCATGGGGGCGGGGGCATTTTCGCCTTCCCCAGACTCCAGAGGCTTTCCTCAAGCCTCTGGGAGCGCGAAAACGGCTTCTCTCAGGCTCCAGAGGCCAGAAACTCACCCATTTCTGGCCTTCTAGAATTTCTGGGAGGCCCGTTTCCTCCTTCCTGCAAGCCTCCTTCCTGCGGGCCATGCACTTACCTCATATCCAAAATGGGCTGCGTGGAGACTCCTGGGACGGGTGGGGTAGGAGGGGCGGAGTGGGTGGGGCCAGCCAGGGATATGATTTGGAGGTTCTCCGAACTGGCCATAATGTTAACTACGGGCTCTCCCGAACACGGGCGAACCCATAGCAGCCCACCACTGCTACCAACCAGTCCTTCCACTTAGAATCATTGCATTGTCTTGCAGTGACATGATAATCATTTTCGCCCTTTCCAGCCGGCTTCCAACAAGCAAAGTCAATTAAGAAAGTCAGAAGTTACAATCATGTGATGTTTAGTTTAATTATCACAGCACTTAAAAACAAATTTGCTGGTCCCTTTTGTGATTCTAAGTCAAGGACTACCTGTAACTAAAATGAACATTTATGGCTGTGCTCCCATCCAACCATTCTCACTCCCTAGCAATAATAAAATGCTATTTGTGGGAAGAAGACACCAATACAAGTAGTGATGTGAGGTTTCTTTGCCCTTAACAGTTGTCCATTTGCTGGATCTTCGAGCATCAAGATCATGTAGTGACTGCTGGTGAAATGGTTTGTCAGTCAGCATAATTCAAGTTATGGGGCAGGTCTGTAAACATCTCTGAGGGCAACGTGTAAAGGTAGTGCTGGATTTTGGATTCATTTAACAACTGTGGCAAAAAAAAAGTTACTTAACAACTGCTTTGCGTAGCAACATAAATTCTGGTCCCAATTGTTGTCATAACAGAGAAGCAGTTTTCTCTCTATTGAAAAGCCCTGCTTATTCCTAAACAACAAGAACATCCAAGCACCTGGAAAAAGTTGCTCTCGAAGGTTGGTGCACCTCTAAACACACTGTACTCTGGCATCTGCAGCAATTTCTGCAGTTTGCCAGGTGATGGTGACCAGCCCCGGAGAGCCTGATCATGGATATCTTCTGAAGGATTCCCCTGGCTCCTTGTGGGTTCCCTTCCTGGAAGGCAGCAATGTAATAAAAAAGAACAGATGTGAGAAGTATTACAAGAATCAGGGTTGCAAGCTCTCACAATATTTTTAATTAGTCTGTAGGACTGGGCATGTTTCTTGCAGGGCCTATCCTACATCCTTACTGGAGTGCTCTTTTGGTCTTCATCCACAGCTTTTGTTTTTTCCCCCTCTGTCTCAAACCACAACCATTTGAGGCATAGACCTGTACTCTTGTTCTTGAACCCTGCAAATCATCATTCCATGATTCCACATAATATTACCATGTGGTAATGTTATGTGGAAATGACCTTGTGAGACAGGAAGAAGAGCTGCAGCCTAGACAACTATAATGCACAAGATATTTCAGCCCATAGATAAGGTGCAGTAAGTTAAGGTGAGGTGAGGGGATGGGATAAGATAGGATAAATATAAGCTGAGATGAGATAAGATGAGATGAATTTTCTGTGAATACATCATTATACATTAAAAATGAAATTCTGATTTCCTTCTGATTGAGAAAGAAAAAAAATGTGTGGGAAGTGCCTCAGAAGTGGGACTGTCTCTAGTTGCCTTGAAAAAAAAAAAGGAGGGGAGAGGTGCTTTAAGATTTGTAAGATGCTGGATTTGACATGAAGTTCTCCAGCTGGACAAACGAGGGGTGTGTGAACTCTGAAGAGTCTCACTCTATGTGACAAACCAATTCCAAGATCCTTTTTGGATCAGAACTCTCCTGGAGGGGGTGAAGAAGGGGCAGTGTCTCATCAGACCCAGATGGAGTGCAACAGGTCTCTCATAAGTCAGAGATTCGCTCTCTGAATTGGAGTCGGGGCAGCAGCATGGCAACATGGTTGCACAAGAAGTTGGCTTCTAGCCAAAGCAACTGAACAGGAGCATCCAGGGGGAGATGAAAGCCTGGTAAGAAGATCTAATTAACACACAGTCATAAATCAGAACTTGGAAAAGGAAAAGAACCTTGAGAGTATAAATAATATTAATGGACAGATTTGGATTTTGGCAAAAAGAAAGAAAGAAGAGGGAAAATGGAGGGTTGAACCACTAGCACAAAAAGAGCCATTTGCTTGAAACGCGTGTGGACAGAAATCTGGACAGAAAAGGAGAAAGTAGAGAAATAACAAACCCACTCAAATACAAATTCTAAATTTGGTCTTGGATTTGGAAAGATTATATTTTTAAAAGAGACATGAAATAAAAATCAAAACATATTGATGAGATTTGCTCCGTTCAAATTTCTTCTAACTAACATATCTCAAACAACTCTAATTAATGAGAGGTGGACTGTAACAAGGGTAAAAATCAAGAAAAAAGCACTATTTTCTCACTGATAACCTAATCTTGCCTATGCAGCGAATGGAATTCAAAACCCTGAGCAGGAGAATTAATTAACCAATTGCCATAAATCAGAACTTGGAAAAGCAGGAGGCAAAGAGAAACATACTGGAATTTGACCATATCCAAGTTTGTTCCAATTAATATAATTTGAGCAACTATAACCAACAAGAGGTGAAAGGTAACAAGGGAAAAAATAATAAAATCAAGAACTGGGAAAATACGAAGTTTTTTTCTCTCTGCAAAAGGTCAAGATGGCTCCCTCTTCTTTTTTACATTAATTGAATTAGCTAAATTTAAGGTGGACCAGAACTTTGAAATAAGAACAGACAATTTTAGAACTAGACATTAAGGAAGAACAAAAGACTAAGATGACTCCCATCTTTTTTTCTCTCCAGATAAGCTGAACTAGCTAAATTTAAGGTGGACTAGAACCCTGAAATAAAAACTGTATAACTAACTGTAACTTTGGAACTGGACATTATGGAAAGGTGGGAATTTGAAGAACTACGTGAAATTATAAAAAATATGCATAAATAATTAAAATCAAGTCTAAATAGAATTTTGAACTCAGAGAAGCAGGAACTGAAGGAAGAAGTGAAGGAAGAAGGGGGGAGGGATCATGAAGGGATAGAAACGATGGAAAATAAAAAGCAGACAAAAACTTCATTGGGTTAGACAGTGATATAGGGGAAATTGAAAAGGAGGGATGTGTCCCAACAAAAGGAAATAAAAAGCAGACAAAAGATTGTATTGAGATTAACAGTGGCCTAGGGAAAACTGTAAAGGGAGGTTATGCCCCAACAAAGAGAAATATAAAAGATTTCACTGGGTTTGACAGTGGCTTGGGGAAAATTGACGAGGGTGGACATGTAAAAACAAAAAAAGGGAGAAGACAGGAATAGAGAAGAGGAACAAAAGACTTACTAGGAAAAATCAGATAATTAGAAGCTGTTATTTGGGGAAATATAAAGGTGAGATATGTGGTTTATTTATATACATGATAATAAAATTGAGTTGCCAATTGATTGAATATGATAATGGAAAGATAATTAAATGGAGATTAAAATATATGGAATAGGGACAAATATGAAACTGTTATGGGAGAATGTAAAGCAGAGGTATGTGATTCATTTTTATACATGATAATTAACTGTGTTGCTAATTGATTGAATATGACACTGGAAGGACAATTAAGTATGGGTTAAAATATATGAAACATATATATAGAACTCCTAAGATGATGAACAAAGTGAGATGTGTACCGTTTGTTATTCTATATAGTAGATTAAGGGAATTGTAATGAACATTGAACAGTAAGGATTGTTATTTAAAAACAATGATAACCTAAACCAAGATATGGAAAAATGGAGCGGGAACACGAAATATTTCTACAATGAAAAATTATTGAGATTACAAAGGCAGAATCACAAATTTGGGGCGCGTAAGGTTGCCTAATTATATAAATATAATGATGAGAATAGCTGGAAATTATAACAAAGTCTACATCTTGCCCCAAAATAGGCTGGGTTGTTGTTTTTCAAATTACTATATATGTATACTTTTTTCTCTTTTAAAAAAGAAAGAGGAAAATATGTTAAAATTAAATATGTTTATTGAAAAGGAATTATAAATACCATCAACATAAAATGGAGCTCGCTCAGAAGCTGAAATACACCAAGTAAATGAGATAAAGAGTGTAAAGCAGAGAGAGGTAATGGAAGAAGAGAGGGATAGGAGAGAAGGCGGGGGGGAGAGGAGGAGAGAAAGAAGGAGTGGAAAGGGTAGAGAGGAGGAGAGGAAGGAGAAGTAGAGAAGGATGACAGAGGGAAGAAAGAAGGTAGGGAGGAGGAGGAGAGAGGGAGAAGAAAGTGATGAATAAGTACAAATATGGTGTATAGAGAACAGAAGAGCCAATAATTTTTTGGGGGAGTTGATGGTAAGACAAATCGATGTAAACAGTTAATAATATAATACGATGTTGGTTATGTAATAGTATACATGTGGCTATGTGTTATGAAAATAAAAAAATAAAAAAAACATATTAATTTTTTTGTAAGATGCTGTTACATAACCCTACAATAAAGGTAGTGCTGGTACTCAGGATTTATGCTTCTTGTCTGGACTACCTTGCAGGGCTGATCCACATCTAATTGCTTTTCTTTGACATAGGAGCCAATTTAATGGGAGGAAAATATCCAAACCCATCCTCTACCTAGTGAGATCAGCCTCACAGTAACTATAACCCACTAAGTGACTCTTCATAAGTACCCCACATATTTTATATTTTGTTTAAGATTTAAATAAACAAAAGTAAAACACCCCCAAGTTTCATCAGATCTTTGTGTAATCATATGGCATCTTCTGAAGGATCAGGAAAAAACTGCACAAGACCTGTTGAGGTTCAGGTATTTAATGAAACAAAATTATATTATATTTAAATTTCAGATGAAAGTTTCTTTGGAAGGCCACCTCCAAAATATCTAACGTAACCCTTGGAGGACCATCATCTGAAAAAATGCTGACAATGGTGTTAGCTTCTTCACACCAGCAAAATGGTTGTCACCTAGATATATTTCCCTCCCTCCCTCCCTCCCTCCCTCCCTCCATCCATCCATCCATCCATATATATAATAATATCTATCTATCTATCTATCTATCTATCTATCTATCTATCTATCTATCTATCTATCTATCTATCTATCATCTATCTATCTATCTATAGATATAGATACACACACACACACACACACACATATACTTAATGTCTGCCACAAAGAAAACTCCCTCTTCTTTGTGGCAGACCCTCAACTATTGGAACACTGCTATGTCACCCTTAGTCCTTCTTTTAATTAAACTAGACGTACCCAGCAACCGTTCTTTACATATTTTAGCCCCCAGTCCATCATATTTGTTGCCCTTCTCTGCACTCTTTCTAGAATCTCAACATGTTTTTTTACCTCATGGTAACCATAACTGGGTGCAGTATTCCAAGTATGGCCTTACCAAGGCATTATAAAGCGGTAACCAATTTCATTACGTTTAAGTACAATGACAGAGATTATACTTATACTATTAATAGTTGATCTTGATTCTATTCCTCTGTTAATGTAGCCTTTAAAGTATGAAACTCAACTAGCATCCTCACTTATCAGATCTTTACTCACCACCCAGCTGAAGAAAGCAAGTATGTAAATTGTTCTCACCTGCAGGGTGTGAGAACATAGCTAGGACTGAGAAGGGAGAAGCTATAACCCTGCTTGATTATCATGATACTGAAACAAGAGCATCCTCTAGCCCACAAAATTCTGGCTCATCATTCTGGGTGGGGCTGGACCCCCCCATGGGCTTTGGGCTACCAGTTTTGAGTCCTCTCTTCTCTCCTGATTCCACCTTTCCTGGCTGAAAGACATGTCTCTCCTACTGGAAAATCTGTCTGCCAATTATTTGTGCATTGTGACATCAACCAAGAAAGCAGGGTTGTTGGAGAGTAGAGAAAATCACCAAAGAGTCAAAAAGGAGGTAGCAAGAAGATGGAGGCTGGATGAATGCCGCTCTCTAGCTAGGATGAATGTTTTTTGATGCCACGACTCAAAATATTCTTAGACGGTGGAGCTCACAATCTGGAAATTCGAAGGATTCATTTCCGATCTAAGAAGATGGCAATATTCCAAGCAATGGTAAGTAAGTCTACCTGTTGGAAAAGTGCAAGTGATTCCTTTAGGTAAATTTCCTCCTAGAACTGCCAGATGATTCAGAGACTGTTACCGTTGGAAAATACAAAGCTAAAATAGATTTATGTGCTTTATTATCTCAAAATGTGCACAGTGCCGAAAAATACTCTACTTTGGTCATAAAAGCAGATAGATAAATTACTGGGGCCAAACAAAACCCAAAAAATCTAAAACTATCCTTTGCATCGTTTTTAGCAATGCATATTTAAGGAGAGGTTTTTCTTGGCATTTCAAAGCCCTCTAAAACAAACCAACAGCCTCAGAGGTTGGTTGCTCCCAGTTTGGCCCGGATCAGACGAACCGGTAGTAGTGGTGGCAAGAGACTCTGCCCACCTGCCCAAATGCTTCTGTACAGAAGCGTCACGTGCGTGTGTGAACGCACCTGAACCAGTATTTTAAAAATTGGCAACGCACTACTGAATAGCCCATAGGTTAGATCTGGCCAACCACCTAAAATTATCCCAAAAAGAAATACCATATCTTATTTCCTGCTTAATCAACATTAAGAAAACTAAGATCATAGCATCTGGCCCTCTAAATTCCTGGCAAGTAGATGGGGAAGAAATGGAGGTAGTGACAGATTTTATTTTCCTTGGCTCCAAGATCACCACAGATGGGGACTGCAGCCAAGAAATTAAAAGACACTTGTTCCTAGGGAGGAAAGCTATGGCAAATCTAGACAGCACACTAAAAAGCAGAGACATCACCCTGCCAACAAAAGTGTGTATAGTCAAGGCTATGGCTTTTCCAGTTGCAATGTATGGCTGTGAAAGTTGCACCATAAGAAAGGCTGAGCGCCAAAGAATTGAGAATGGTAGAGACAGGAAGGCCTGGAGGAACGTCGTCCATGGGGTCACGATGGGTTGGACACGACTTCATGACAACGACAATAATATCCTGCTTGCAGTGATTCTAAAAAAATAAAGTTTGCAATTCTGTCTTATACCTGATGTAGAACACTTCCATTTTAATAAATTATTTGAATGATATGAGTCTACATTGTTTATAATACACCTTCAGTTACTGTGGTCTCTTCCTCCCTTGCTCCAGAAGCATTTCTTTCCCTTTACCACAAGGGGCGCTCCTGCATGCCCTCTTTTTCCTTTCAGTCTCACCACTCTTTTCCCCACTTAAGAAACAGGTCTCTATGGCTTGTCCCAATTGCCAGTATTTGCTCAAAAGTGAGTACGTCCTCACGTAACTACCACAACTGAGCCTGGAATTTCCATTGTAAGTCATTGTGGTCATTAAGTGGGTCACCACATGACCTGATTCAATTTTAAAACTGTTTTACAAGGGTTGTAAAGTGAATCACCATATAATTAAGTGAATGATGCATTTGTTAAGGAAACCATGTGGGCATTAAGGGAATCCATTCTTTTGAATGGGGGTTTTGTGCTGAAAACCAGCAACCAATATTGGAAAATGTAACTACCATAGTTGTAAAATGCAAGACAGTTAACAAATTCCCAAAGTGTAATCATGTGACTTGGGTGATGGTGGTGTGACAGTAGTAATTTCTAGGAGGGATTGTAATTGACCTTTGGGAGGATGGTCATAACTTTGAGTGGTCATTAAACAATCACTCATTCAGCAAGGATTTCCTCTTTGTGGAAGAAGGATGGTGACCTCTTGTCCTAGAAATTTAAATAGCGCTCAATTGAAATGTAAACAACAGAAGAGTCAAGTCTTCGCCAAATAAATTTCTTTTAATGCAGACACTATATACCCTAATAATAAGACCAGCAACTGCAAAATCAAGCACTTGAGCTCTCTATTTATAACAAATCCATGCTTGAAATCTGTATTTTTTTTCTGCCCTTACATGATTAAAAAAAAAAAAAACCAAAACACTTTTCTTGGTTTTGGACGGGGTTTGGATGAGGGTCCTTTTCAGTGCTAAGTCAAGGTTATATGGTGCCCCCACGCTACATTGATGGTACCATCTTCTGCTGATGCAAATATGGCATTTTTAGAATGGTTTGGAAGGTCAGGTGACAAGAGCACCCCCAAACTTTGACACCCTAGACCAGCATTCCCCAATCATTCCGGCTTTGTGGACCAGTGTGTGTGTGGGGGGGGAAAGGTGACGGTTCTGTGTGAGTGGTGCATGCGTATGCATTATCACCCACCACTTGTGCAAATGGAGCTGTACACACGTGTGCTTGCCCGCTGCTTGTGCAAGTGGAATGCGCACATATACTTGCCCACCACTGAACAGGCCACAGCCCGGTATTTGGCCATGGCCTGCGGGTTGGAGACCCCTGCCCTAGACCAGTGCTTGTTTAGCTTTAGTTTGTAGCTGGCCTCATCCCTGTCTGGCTTCAAGCTTCTTTGCTTCCAGCTTTGTGAACTTCAATCCTCATACAGTAGGTTTAAACAGACCTGATCATGAGAGATGTGCCAGGGGTTCACCACCAAAAGACTGACGAGATCGGCCTACCACGACCTTCTGGGCTGATGAGGGGCCACCAGGAGAACATCTTCCCCTTTGGCATTTATTAGATCTTGCGAACTACTTGTGGAAGCAGAGGTAGAGGTGGGAAGACTTACAGTAGTCTGGGTGGCCATCTGCAGCGAAAGTTGTCTGTCCTCTCCGCCTGGGGAGAGTGGAAGCGGGAGAAGAAGCCAGGAAGCTGCGTGTTGTCCTGGCTGGCAAACAGATCGACCATCAGAATTCCGAACCTCTGGGTCAGTTGGTGAAATAGGTCCAGATGCAGGCGCCACTCTGAATTGTCTATGGTGGTCCTGCTCAGCCAGTCCGCTTGGGTGTTGTCCACTCCTGAGATGTGGTGCGCCCAAACTGACTGAAGATGTTGCTCCACCTACCTGCCCAAGGCCTCCGCCTCTACCATGAGGGAATGGGAGTACATTCTCCCATGACAATTGATATGGGCCTTGGTGACCACATTGTCCGTCATCAACAGGACGTAGTTGTGTTGAATGTCCTGGCTGAAATGCTGAAGGGCGAGTCTTACTGCTCTCAGCTCCAGCCAGTTGATGTTGCGGGCTGATTCCTCACAAGACCAACTGCCCTGCCCTGCCCTGCGTGATCAGATTGTTGAGGTGAGTGCCCCAGCCGGACAGGCTCATGTCTGTAGTCACTACCAGTTGCTCCGGTTCCTTGAAAAAGAGGCCTCTTTCGATGGCCAGGGATAACCACCATTGCAGGGAGCACCTCACCTTCGGGGGGAGCTGAACTAATGCTGGGGAGCTGCTCCTGTTGGCTCTTTGGTGTGGTAACAAGAGCCACTGGAGTGCCCTTGCATGGAGTCTTGCCAAGGGAACCACGGATATGCAGGATATCACCTTGTCCAATAGTTGGGACAGACAAATGACTGGCACCTGCCATGCACCCTGCATCTTGAGAACAAGGGTCCTTAGGCTGTCTAACCTTTCGTGTGATAGATGAACCTTGCAAGCTAGGGTGTCTATCTCTGCCCCTAGGTGTAGATGCCTGGTGGTCAGCTCCAAAGGGCTCTTCTCCAGGTTTACGGAGAACCTGTGTGCCTGGAGGTTTCTCATGATGGCATGGAGGTCGTGGACCGCCTGTTCCCTGGATGACGATTGAACTAAAATGTCGTCGAGGTAACAGACTAGTCTTACTGGCCTTCTGAAGTCTGCTGCCACTACTGAAAGAATTTTGGTGAAGCCTCTGTAGCCACGTGGTTTCGTTTCCAACACTTCAGGAAGCTGAGGCTGCACAGCAGATGCCGGTGAAGGGGTGGAGGATCCGGAGAATGACCACATGGTGGCCAAAACAATGCGGCCGCCCGAATCAGCCTTAAGGGCTTTGGATGGTAGCAGCGCTGCCAGCGACAATGGCCACACACCACCTGGTGATGATCCTCCTGGAGCTGAGCTGGTCACACTGACGGCGCCCAAAAAGCGTGCCAAGCGGAGGCTTGTAGGGTGCTGCGAGCCAAAAGAGTGTATGTGTGTATATAGGTGTGTGTGTGTGTGTGATTCAAGATGGCAGCTGCCTCAGCAATCGCCGCAAAAAAACCCTCTCCTGAGCCGGCACTTTAAATCCAAGCCCAGGGAAGCGGTTCCAGGCGCGTTTGCCCCCAAAGCGGGTCAATCGAGTGCCCAGCCTCCAGTCCTAGCAACACGGAAGGCCAGCACTCCCCACCCCAGCTCCCTCCCCACTCTCTCACCTTGGAGTTAATTGCAGAAAAAGAAACAAAGAAATCACTCCAACAATCCTCAAAAGAAAAAAAGGAATACACGAAAAAAAACAAAAAAACACCAAAATAGGAAAAACTTGTGTATAATTTGGAGACTCCAAGCCGAGTTAATTAAAGCAAACAGATGGAGCATAGTAAAATTAGTCCTGACTGGGCCAGACTGAGTTAAAAATCTGGCCTTAAGGAGGATCAGGAGGCGTGGCCAAAGAATTTGAACTCAGTCCTTGGGTAACCAGACTAATTTAACCCATGCTTGGACTCTCCAAGCAGCGCACAGGAAAAAAATGGACTTCCTTGTTTTTATTTGAAGACGTGTCACTTCTCATCCAAGAAGCTGAAGAAGCTTCTTGGATGAGAAGTGAAACCTCTTCAAAGAGAAACAAGGGAGTCCAGTTGCCTCTTGAAAAAGCACCTTTCGGACAAGCCTCCTGCTGTCTTTTGTGAGGAATTTTATCTTCTGCCATGGGTAAAGCCTCTAAATGCAATCCCTAAGCAAGGAGAGGATCAGAACAGTAGTAGCACCATAATACCAGCCACAGCAGGAATAAGAATAACAATAGCTTTATTGTGAAACCAACCCACAAAGAGAGATGCTCCTTTAAAGACTCAATTCCTGGAGAGTTAAATAAGCCCTGAGAAATTAAACTGTGTTTGTGTCTGTCTGTCTGTCCATCTGTCTATGTCTCTCTGTGGGCAAAGGGGGAGGAGAAGGACCAATCCCTGTAGTAATCCCAGAGCAAGGACAAGGAAGCTTCCTCTTGATGTCTCTTTGAGTAATACAGCAGCTTATATCAACAGGTTTCACCAGTTCTAGTCCAGAAGATCCACATTTACTAAAGTAGAAAAGCATTGGTTTCAATCACAGTCAAGTCAGGGAGGCAGAAAGGAAGGAGAGGGTCTTAACTTTAACCAGTGCGGGTGCTGCTTGTCTTCCAGATTTATTTCCCAGTTTTTGGCAGTTTAGACTCCCAATTGTTTGGAAGCTCTGCCTTCAAACCCCATCAGTACTAGACAATTTGTGGCTATCAACTCCCAAGCACCGGGCCAGCAAGAGGTACCCTGTTATTCTTTGTAAACAGAGGGTGTCGTGAGCAATAAAAGCAGGATTTGAAGGGGTTCAGTCTATAATGCAAGCTGCCTATCCTCCTGTATGAAAGAATGGAAAGAATGATATAAAGTGAAGGGAGGATCCAAGGATGCACCAGATGTTCTCTTCACCAAGCCCGTTCAACAAACAGATTCCAGAGTTCCAGTGGCTTTTCCCCATCACCAGTCTCAAAAGGTAAAAAAGTTTTGATCTCAATTCTGCGAAACCACCTGAGTGAGGGAAGAGAGCAGGAAACATCAAGGGGAAGACAATGCCACTATCTGGCAGCTGTGTCATTCCCCTCCAGGCAGAAGCATTGTGTCCCAAGTGTCCACAATTGTGACCTCAGTCCTGCACCTGCCAGACAATGAGATGGCTCCTCTCGGCTCGACGGAGGCGTGGGTTCGGGTGTAGTAGGTCACCGTAGTGCTTATCAGAGTTGTCTCCTAGACATGGAGGAAAACAGTGGCCACATGAAAAGACATCGGGTCTACTGCAAGCATACCAAAGGACTATCAACAAACCACCAAAAACACTCCCACTAACACCGACTGGGAAAACCACTAATATATAAACAGAAAGCAAATCCCACTTCCTTCTAGAGCTGATGATGTTACTTAGTTGGATAATGAAACATCTGTAAGAAAACCACCCTCAGAGAGCACCAAAGATCCCTTATTTCAACCCTGAGCTACAAATATTCTCTTATGTTGGTATCAAGAAGGATTTTTCTTTATAAAGAAATCCCAATCCTGTTTCCCCCCAAGATGTGTTAATTTTTGGATTACAGCACCCCACCATCTCTTGCCATTGGCCAAGGGACCGGAGCTGAAACTGAGTCAGCCCTGGACCACAGTAGTTTCTCCATCCTTGCTTACCTATCCGGAGATTAATATACCCTTCCCCTCCACTTAGCACCAAGCTGCAAGGTTTGCTTGGTTTCTCTTGACTGTGCGAATCCTTGAGGTTTTCTTCAGCAGATGGAGCCACATATCCTAGAAGAATGAAAAGCAGTCAGAGCTATTTGAATCCTAAAGGCACCAAAACTGAAATGATAATAATGATTTCCAAACCCATCCTGGATAGGAATAGCATCCTTTCAGTGCACGGCTAAGGAAGGACACCTTTATCCCTCAGTCACATGTGGTGCTTAGAATAAATCTCATCAACAAACATTTTGATTAGCCTCAATTTGAAATCAATTTTTTTGAGAGATCAATTCAGCACCCCAAAAGGCACAAAATTCTGCCCCATAGTACAGGTAGTCCTTAACATACAACAGTTCATTTAGTGACCCTTCAAAGTTGAAAAAAGTGACTTATGACTGCTTTTCACCCTTATAATCATTGGGCTCAATTGTAGTCTTAAGTCAAGGACTACCTACAGCTACAAGTAGAAGAAGAGGAGATTCGAAAAGAATGGCTTCTGATCTTGTTATTGCTGTTTTGGTCATATATAAGAGCAAAGTTACAATAAATGATAACAGCCACAAGGTTACTTTAAGCACAGAGATGAAAGGATTCACATATACAGTATCTATAATGGAAGAATAGATGGTGAAATTAATGGAGTTGGCGGAGAGGGAAAAATTGACTGGGCTGATTAAAGAAAATACTTCATTCTGGTTTCATTTCTGTTTGGAAAACACTCTTGGATATTTTGCTTGAAACTGAAAGAATTTTAACCTTGGGATGTGATGACTAGGACCTGTTTACAACTAGGGAAGTACAGTGCACTATGGTTTACCCTACTTCAAAAGGTCATTGTATTTCATATTTGTATCTACAAAAGAAAGTCAGAAGTTATGTTTTTCTATAACTTTCTATAGAAAGGCTTTCTATTCTGTCCCCACTTTTGTGTGTATTGCCAAAATTGCTTTCTCACTATCTTTCCCTCTTCCTTTTAAATTATTTTTTCTATGTCTTTTTGTAGTTTATAACTTTTTAAAATTTACCTTAAGTTCTAGGTATTCCTGCTAGATTAGTCCAGTGTTTTTCAATCTTTAAGATGTATGGAGTTCAACTCCCAGAAAATGCTGGCTGGAGAATTCTGGAAATTGAAGTTTATCTTAAATTCTCTAACAGTGACAAACATTGGATTGGACTCATCCACATATGCCCTCTCTTTCCTATTCTCCTTTCTCTTCCAGTCATTTTTACTATTTATCTGATGTTTTCTCTGTTTATATGATCTATGGTACCTGCATCTTTCTTTTATTAAAAAATGTCTTCTTGCTGTATGATAGGATAGATGGTCTTTTGGTCTATGACCCAATAAATAAATAACACACCCACTTAACTTGTATTTTAGAGCTCTGGCTAACTTGGGTTTTTTAATGTATTTTAATGAATTGCATTTTAGGCAATGAGAGGAACTAAAACTTAAACAGAAAATGAACTGCTTCATTCTACTCCTTCTAATTGTTATTTAGTTTAGGTGTTTTATTGATTTTTTAGCTCTTTTAGTGTGTTTTTTTAACTTGTATTGTGAATAACCCTGGAATAAAAGCTAATGAAGGTAGTATATCAAAACTGTTTGGTAAATAAGGCCATTAAACATTATTAGCCAGAAAAAATACAGTATTAACTTGCACTTTTATAGGGCCACAGGGGAGGGCAACCTTCTCTGCAACCAATGTGGAAATCCACGCTATTCACCATGAGGCAGGTTAGATTTCTTCCAAACAGAAGGCAAAGAAAAGATTAATTTGCCTATAAATTAAATAATATGGACTTTCTAGTTGCCTCTGCCAATCTGGCCATGTGTTATATCTGTGGTCACAGATGTGCCCAAAATAAACAAATCAAGTACCCAGTCCATTAAAAAAAAAAAAAGCAAATTGTTAGAAGCTGCTGTTTAGAATCCTATCTTTTGCTGCCCCACCCATGAGTCAGAATTGGAGAAAATCAGGATGTAACCCTTACTCAATGGCAGAATCCACACCCTTTGCTAACAGTGATTAAAGACCCACAACCTGCTGCCCAGCAAAACAAGACATCATATCAGCCAACCACTGTCGTTTCATTCCGTTCATTTAAAACATAGTTACTATTTTACTCTATCTGGGGGTAAAGGAATATATATCTATTTTGTTGATTTAAACTTTAATATACATGAATCCGATCTCACTGAATTTAGCATTTTCTGCCTCCGCTTGGTTTCAACTTCCAAAAATTCCCAGCCAAGATGCTGACATGAATGCTTTGTTTATCACAGCCCCCACTTCCTTCCTCCACCTCTGTTGTTTTTCCCATGCCGGGAAAAATCTGTAAACATCTCAGGGAAGAAACTTGTCATATTCTGCCAAACTGTCATGCACAAGGGTAGCTCTTCCTGAAAAATCAAGAAACGGGTTTCCGACATTTCTTGCAAACTACCTGGGACAGAGACAAAGAAACGGACAGCATCGCGGTGCCCATGGTAGCTGATCTGGGCTTGCTCCATAGCACACAAAGGGATACCAGCAGAGGGAGAAGTCTTCACGCTTTCAGAAAATTCTGCAGAGAAACCGGAAAAGCCACCTCAGAACTAAACAGTGCAGCTATGCATTTTCCCACAATCAGGAGGAGACTTGTTTGCTTACCAGAGACAAAAGGCACAGAGATAATGGTGCCACCAGATGTGCCAACCCATAGCCGCTTTCCAAAAGCACTGAGAGCTGAGATGTTCAAGGCTAAGCTAACACTGCTGGGCCCTGGAAGAGAAAGAGAGGAAGGAAAAGCAAGGATGAGCTTGTATATATTTCATAGACTAACACTGATGATGTTACTTAGTTTGGGTAATGAAACAATTGCAAGAAAGCAACCAAGTTCAGAGAACATCAAGGACCCCTCAGAGGTGTTGAGGCACATCCCATCATGACTGGGAATTCTGGAGGTTGTGCACTCCGACCTGAGCACCAAGCAGGAGAAGGCCATCCAAGCTTCCTTCTTTTTCTTTTTCTCTTTTTTTTGTTTCTTTCTTTTCTTTCTTCCCTTTCTTCCTTGTCTGACTTCCTTCCCTTCCTTCCTCCCTCCCTCCCTCCCTCCTCCTCCATCTTGTCCATCATCTAGAGTTAAATGCCATCTGATTTCCAATGGGCATCTCAAACCAGAACCCCTGTCTAGATCCACACGTGATTTATGACAAGAATGGACATAGGCATTAGGGACCCTGTGCCTCTCCAAGTATTGCAAAACAGCCCCAGTCAACATGGGCCACAGGAAGGAGTGCTGGGGGCTGTCCTTTTGTGATATTTGAAGGACCTAATTCTGGTTCAGGAGTTCTACCTACAACAGACGATCTGGGAAATGGAGTCCACAATAGCTAAGGAGCTTTCTATAAAAATTTCTGATCCTGCAATAACCCTCCAGTTCTTCATATTTTTCCCGAAACCAGAGCACTTGCAGATCATGTCCTGCCTGACTTACTCCTCCCCACCCTTTGCCAAAGCGTTTCTCAACCAGAATTTAAGAGGTGTAGACTTCAACTCCCAGAATTCATGGCTGGCTGCGGAATTTTGGGAGTTACAGTCCACCTGTCTTAAAAGTTCCCAAGGTTGAGAAACACTGTTCTGCAATGTCCAAGATCCTGCCTTTGGGTGCCCTCTGGTTCCTGACCCAGTTAGGCAGAAAAGATCAAGTCCACCTGAAGTTTCAATTAAACTGATTTATTGCTAATCATGCCTATACGCAGGAGTCTTCTCAACAATTAGCACCTGCTTGGAGTTCGATATGGGTTAATAGACATCATGGGAGTGGGACTTAGTTCACTTGTGGCTACACAGGGATTCTAGGCTGATCGCTCTTTTAACTCCACTTCCAGGTTCTGCCACTCCTTCTCCTACAGCCACTCACCAAATGTGCGACTAATGAAGGGCTCCAGTTCCACTTCCTGCAATGGCTGCCCTGTCTCCGCATGGAGAAGACGCAGAGTGGTCTCCAGGCGGACTGAGATCCAGATGCCACCACCAGCTGCTGCCATGTGCCGGACATGGCTTTCAGGGTGCGAAGTCACTTCAAAGTATCGCTGGAAGGAAAACATATTGGTGGCAGGGAGGGAGATTCAAATGACAGGCATGCCAATTTTCTCTGGCGTGGGTGCAGGAAGTCTATGGCCTGTTGGTTGGGCAAGGACTCTTGTATACAGGTAGTCCTCGACTTACAACCAGCCATCTAGTGACCATTCAAAGTTACAAAGGCACTGAAAAAAGTGAGTTATGATCGTTTCAACATCACCATGGCCATGGGATTTACATTCAGGTGATTTACATTTATGACCGTTGCAACATCCCCATGATCACATGATCAAAATTCTACTAAGAACATAGATGCAGAGGATTCCAGTGACTTGAATCTCTTCCAGCCCCATCTGAGTTTTCCACTGGACAACCTCTTGGCTTCCACAGCTTCTAGTAACGGCCTCCTGTCTCAATAGGCTCACCTGAATGCGAGCGGTCCGAGGATCCAGCACATAGATTCGGTTACCATAGCCACACCACAGCCAATTAAACACAGGGATGATGCAACGAATGGAGCGCCGTGGCCGTCCCAATTGAACCAGGCGTGGGGAGCGCAGTTCCCAGTTGCGATCTAAGAAAAGACAAGTTATTATACTTTAAGCTGCCCAGAGTCACCTTGGGCAGCATATCAGTTGAATTAATAAGTAAATAAGTGTCAATGACCCACATAAACTGGGCAAAATCTAGGAAGCAAGATCTACAGAGACTTCAGTAAGGTATATTTCATGCAAGTCTTTGGGTAACTACAGAATCTTGGAAACATCAAGAATTTCCAGCCCTCATTTGCAATGAGTTTCTTAAGACAAAATCTCTTGGAAATGCTTTTTCCCATATTTCTTGCTAGCTGGGCTTCACTGCTATTTGTAAGACAGGCTGTCAATGGATTCACGTTCTGTCTCTTGATTATTTATGATTATTTACCCTTGTGTTACTTTCCTAGCCTCTAGGCATTCTCTCTCATCAAGAAATTAAGGAGGTCTCAACCCTGGGAGAGATGGAGAGGGAAGGAATCCAAGCAGCAGGACCTACCTGCATTCCGATGGAATATAGCCAGAGATCCATCAGCAAGGGCAGCTACAACGCGGCCTTGGGTATGCCTGGAGAAGACAGGGTAGAATAATACACAGGCATGTTTTACTAGCACTAGAATGGGAAGACAGGCAGTTTCCACCGAGGATACACAGCTTTCAGCCATTGGGCAAGAACTGCATACTCACACAATACAATGGACAGCCTCCTTCAAACGTATTTTGCCTTGGCAATGTCGCCAGTCAGTCGCAGTGGAATGAATATAGATACTGTAAAACAAAGAGATAGCAGAAATAAGAGAAATATCCAACAGAATTATTAGACCCCTCCACCCAACTCTGCCACTAGCACAATGCCAGTTTCAGCTGGGACGCCTAGCTTCCCATTCATTAAAAGTAAAGTATTCTCCTGTCTAGCTGTGTTGCATTCTAAGTGTGCAGAATGCTGAGATGCATGGAATACTCTTATCTTCCCAATGAAATGGTACCTATTTATCTACTCACATTTGCAAGCTTTCGAACTGCTAGGAGGGCAGGAGCCAGGGCTCACCCCGCCTCACAATGCTGGGGTCTTGAACATGGGCTGACCAGCTTGGTATCTTTAACCAGTGAGCCATCACATACATACCTATTCATTAACTCTTCATAATTGGGATACAGCATTAAAATCTCTGCTATCACAGTTCCATTACTGTATTGGGTAAATTCATTGTGCAGGCGATTCTTGACGGATGACCATTCATTTACTGGTTATTTGAAGTTACAGTGGCACTGAAAACTTACAATTAGTCCTCACACCTATGATTGGTGAGCTTCTTGAGGGGTTTTTGACTAACAGTCAATGAAGGAAGCCAGGTTCACATAATGACCACATGATTTATTAATGGCCATGGTGACTTGCTTAATGACTGCAGTAAAAAGGTTTGTAATATTGAGTGTGACTCACTTAATAACCACATCACTTAGTGATTGAGGTTCCAGTCCCAATTATGGTCATAAATCAAGGACCAGCTGTAAAAGCAGGTGAGCTTTATCTTCTCCCCAGAATGACAGCTCCCTCCTCAGGATAGCAGGTAGAATTACAGAGTAACAGTAGCAACAAGAAGAAAAAGGTAGGAGGAGAGGAGGACAGGAAGAGCCAGACGCTGCCTGAAGCAACATAGGCAAGAATGGCATATTATATCAGACACCTTCATTTCTTCCCCACTTTGACTTCCATTACCAGCCTTCCTGGGTTCCAATCCAGACAGTGGGTCCTGTTCCAACTGCCTCCATTTCCCTTGTTTCTTCATCACTGTCAGATCGGGGTGCCAAAGGGTCTTCGAGGATCTCTGGCTTTACCACTGGCTTTTCATCAACAGGTGCTGTCAGGCCTACAGAAGAAGAGGGAAAGCAACATTAAGGAAAGGAATGCTTATCTATCAGGAACCCACAACACATTGGAATCTTGTTTTGAAATCTCACAACTAGTCTGAGGCTCTTTCAAAGCAACTAGACCAGTGTTTCCTAATTTCAGCAACTTTTAAGATGGGTGGACTTCATCTCCTAGGCCATTCTCTTTTTCAGGGACATGTATAAAATAGAATAACAGAGTTGGGAGGGACCTTGGAGGTCTTCTAGGCCAACCCCCTGCTTAGGCAGAAACTTTATATCATTTAAGACAAATGCCATCCAATCTCTTCTTAAAAACTTCCGGTATTGGAGCACTTACAACTTCTAGAGACAAGCTGTTCCACTGATTAACCATTCTAACTGTCAGGATATTTCTTCTTAGTTCTAGACTGTTTCTCTTCTGGATCAGTTTCCACCCATTGCTTCTTGTTCTGTCTTTAGGTGCTTTGGAGAATAGCTTGATTCCCTCTTCTTTGTGGCAAACTCTGAAATATTGGAACCCTGCTATCATGTCACCCCAGTACTTCTTTTTATTAAACGAGCATGCCCAATTCCAGCAACTGTTCTTTATATGGTTTAGGCATGAAGACATGTCTAAGTTTGAGAATAAATATAAATAAAAGTCCACAAAGCACTAAATGATGAAAAAATCAATCTAGAAAAATCTCATTGGAAGAAAGTTTTGGACTCTTTTGATATAGAGCCTGTCTTACATCAACTACATGGAGCTAAGTGGTGTCTATATGGATTAAAAGCAATTCTTTGGCTTTTCAGACTCCCTGGCTGAGATAGTTTTCTTCCAAAATAGGTTATGTTGAGATTTGAAACTCAAAGCTACTTTAAATTCATACGTCTAAGTCAAACAACCAACACAAATAAGTCCCAATTATTTAAGTGGCGGTGGCACAGTGATGAGTGCAGTACTGCAGGCTACTTCTGCTGACTGCCAGCAGTTTGGCAGTTCGAATCTCAGCAGGCTCATGGTTCTCACCTTCCGTCCTTCCAAGATTGGTAAAATGAGGACCCAAATTGTTGGGGCAATATACTGACTGTAAACCATTTAGTGATGGCTGTAAAGCACCATGGTGCAGTATATAAGTCTAAGGGCTATTACTATTGTGCCAAGTAAAAGAACTGAAAGTTGCATGTAAATTATGCCCATTCTTACTTTGGCTGAATTTGCATAACAGGTTCAACCAGATCGCCTCAAGTCCAGCTGACCCATTTGTACAATACACAAAGTTTAGTTGGCCATGGCTTACAATGTTTCAAAACCCATCCCCTTTGGTGAGTTTATAATTCAATTAATTGTAACACTGCAGAGAATGCGCTTGCAATTAACTCAAATAATTGTGAAAATGAACCTGGAGAGACCCTTTCTATGAAGATTGATCCCCACTCAAGATATGCATATAACTCAGATCAAACTGTACCCCCTAAAAAAACTCCAGTTGGGTAGAATCAATATCTGAGTTGGAAATGGCAAGCAAAAGGATGTTAATAGACTGGTATCCATTATGCCTCGTAAATTCCCCACAAACCCAGCAATGTTTCCATTGTCTTAATCCCCAAACTCTCCATCAAAAAATGGCTGAACGTTTTGACCCTAGTTAATACCCAAGTTCTCCTGACCTCACAGGAAGTGTCTCACTCTGGGTATTTGGACCACAGAATCCCGTACTCTCCTCCTTGCTCCTTCTGACAGTTTCTCAAATCCCACCTCCCAATTGTCCACCTGTCCTTTGTCTCACTGACCAGGCACACAAGCCATGGAGAGGACATGAATTCCAGGCAGCACGAAGTGTTCCAGGAGCTGGTTAGTATTGGGGGCATTGAAGAGAGTCACTTCACTAGCGGAGTGGGTCCCAGCAGCCACCCATAGCTGAGAGCTGCCGGGAGAGCTGCAATGGGGGTTACCCTGAAAGGAAATGAAGAGAAGGGTCAGGAAAAGGCAGGCACTCATCTTCCCATCTTCGATCCACCTGAAGATCCTAATCTGAAAATCTTAGGTAAACTGATGGGAAATCTTACACAAATGGTTTTTTCTAACTATCCAGTCCTCATCTGAGTCTTCTGTGCTACAACATGTGCTTGCTCAGGTAAACACAATAAATATCAGATGAGAATGTAACTTTTCAAGGTCTGAAGTGTCCAATAGCAAGGGTTTGCAGGTAGTCCTCAACTTACAATCTTTCTTTTAGTGACCACAACGGCACTGAAAAAAAGTGACTTATGACCCTTGCAGCATCTCCATTGGCACATGGTCAAAATTCAAATGCTTGGCAATTGACTCATATTTATGACAGTTTGTGTCCCAGAGTCATGTGATTGGCTTTTGCAACCTTCTGACAAGCAAAATTAATGGGGAAGCCAGATTCACTTTATAACTGTGCTACTAGCTAAACAACTGCATGTGATTCACTTAACAATTGTGGTAGGAAAAGTCGTAAAAACTCATTTAACAACCATCTTGCTTAGCAACAGAAATGTTAGGCTCAATTGTGGTTGTAAATTGAGGACCACCTGTGTACCATCTAATAACAAAGTTGTAGAAGGGAAAAGGAAGGGGGGAAAAAGCCACTCTCCAACTTGGCACCATTCCAAATTATATTAGAAGAACACCTCTTATCATTGCCATAATTCTCAGACACCATATTAGTTAGGGAATTCTGGGAGTCATGATTCCAACACACCCAGGCAATACAGGGAAGGTTGTACTTAAGGTTCAACCCGTAACTCCCAAACAGAAGGTCAGAATAACGAAATCCCAAGCATGAAAGGAGCTGAGTTATGCAAATATGCAAGGGAGAAAGTTGTCAGGACAGAAATCAATGCTTACAATCTGTGATGTTTCTCGAGGCTCCAGCCCAACAGATGCTGCGGCACACCAGAGCTGCAATAAGAGACAAGCATCATCTTGACATTCATTCACAAAATGTGTGTGTGTGTGTGTGTGTGTGTGTGTGTACACGTACATATTCACACACACACACACACACACATATATATACGTGTGTATGTATGTTTTATTTGTAATTTTTCTTTAACATCCATACATATTTTGAAGTGTATTAACTGGGTCAATATATTTTTTACACAATTACACAATGCTAGCAATAATAATACAATTAGGTATACATAATCCTAGTCTTCCAATTTCTAACCTTAACCTGCATATTGTACTTAAAAGCTTCAATAACATTTCTTCATGCAGTATGTTTGTTATTCCCTTTAAATCAATAGTCTTTTAATATTTCAGAAATTACTCAATATTCCATCATAAATCCAATATCCCAATTGTTTAGAAACGCCAATAAGACCAGTCATTAGCCAAATGTAATAAATTCTAGGATTATGTCTCCAATTCCCTAAAATTAGCAAACTTGATAGGGGATGCGGGATACGTTTAAGAATCACACAATTTGCTTAAAGCCACGGTAAAATGGTTATAAAATTGGACGCAATTATCTTAACAACGTCCTTGCTTAGCGACAAAATTCTGCTCCCAACTATGCTCTTAAGTCAATTACTGTATTAATTCTTTCCATAACTAAATCAACCAGTAAAAACTTACTTAGTTTTTTTTATACACTTAAAAAATTAATAAAAGAAATGTTTTTAAAAAGATGCTTGGAACAGGAATTCACAAAGCAGATCATCCAAGAGAGGCACCAGAGGGGACTGTTTGGAATCCCTGGTCCACTTCGCCTCTTTCTCTACTCCACCATGACTGGGGTTGCAATCGTCCGGAATCAGCTGTGTCTGCCTCATCCAAACTAATTACAGCACAGACACATCACAGATTGATCTGCCCCTAATTTCTCTGCAATCATCTCTGCTCTGGCTTCCCTAGTTTTACTCCTACAACCTTTACCACAAAGCTCTTTTGTTTGCAAGCTACCGCAATGACTCATACCAGTTCTATTAAGATTTACTCGAGTTTCCATTCCTTTTCAATTTGGGAAAATAGAAAGAACCAAAAAAAAAAAAAAAATTCAGCCCACAACTGTTCATGAGTTGGAGGCAGCTTGCTTCCTCACCTTGGTACTGGGGTCCTTCTGTTCCAGCATTCTCAGCTGCACAAGTACAGGTACATCGGTAGTTCCTGCAGGTGAGTCAGGGCCCTGCAGCAAAATATTAACCCCATTTTAACAGGCAGAAACTCAAGTCTGAAACGTAAATAGGTTCCATCTGGAAAACCTGGATAAGAAAAAGTTAAGATACCACTGCACTCCCCCAGTCCCTCAATTACAGATTGTCTTCCTCTTATGACTGGTTGCTTAGTGATGGTTCGAAGTTACGACTGACCTGAAAAAGGGGATCAGGAGTCGGATCTGAAGTTCCAACAGCTGCCCTGCCCTGTGGTCATGTGACTGCACTTTGGGCACTAAACAACGTGGCTATTCGCAGTGCCCCGTGGTCATGTGATTGTGTTTTATGACTTTTTGACAAAAACTGGCACTTCAGTTTTTGGCAAAACTGCACCATAGTGAACAATGAGCTCACTTAACAACTGCAAATTTGCTTAATAACCAGGGTGATTTGCTTAACAACCACCGCAAAAAAGATTATAAAATTGTTACAGCTCCATTATAGTCGTAACCGAAGGACTATGTATAACTTAGAGGACCAAATGCCACGACTTTGTTTTCCACTTGGATATCCCTCCATTGCCCATGTCAGGAGTGATGCACAGCCATTCATTTAGTGACTGTTTGAAGTTAGGATGGCACTGAAAAAAGTGACTTACGGCCATTTTCCACATTTATGACCATTGAAGCATCCCCATGGTCACGTGATCAAAGTGACAACTAGCATGCATTTATGATGGTTGCACCTTTTGTGACCTTCTGACAAGCAAAGTCAATGGGGAAGTCAGATTCACTTAACAACCGTGTTACTAACTTAACAACAGCAATTGTGATCCACTTAACACAGCAAAAAAGGTCTTAAAATGGGACAAAATTCACTTAACAACTGTCTTGTTTAACAATGGACATTTTGAGCTCAGTTGTGGTCGTAAATTGAGGACTATCTGTACGTACTCTTCTCCCAAGCCTTTGGTGAAGGTGACAGAAGCTCTCTTTCATTTGGGTAGTTTGGGTTTTTTGTTCCCATTTTATGCTGTCATTTTCACTATTTTTAATTCTTCAGTTTTATCATTTGTTGTTTTCTTTTTTTAAAAAAACAATGTGAAAATTATAACCCCTCAGAGTTGCTGGGTGGTGGGCTGCATATACATTTAAATCATAAATAGACAACTTGTGGTCTGTTGGGCCATCCTTTCAGAGATATTTCCTTTATCCAGATTCCTGAATATCTTTTAACAATGACAGAACTTCTAATGTGCTGCCTACACTCAGATATGTATGTGTCTTGAAAATAGCCCGTGATAAACAATATAACAGTATCAAACATCAGCAGAAGTAATGTTTTATGATATTTTGTATTATGTCATAAAGAGTTTTATGACAATTTATGACATAAAATGTTTTATAAAATTTGCCAAATTTCATTCAACGGGAGTCCTAGGTCCCAAATTTTGGGGACATTCTGTACGTTATCCCATATGAGGTACCTTTGTTCAAAAACTGCTTCTTTATGATGTACCATTTTGCCTAGTTAAAGGTTATGGGAACAAGAAATTTAGTACAGTATTACATAGATCAGTGTTTCTCAACCTTGGCAACTTGAAGATGTCCGGACTTCAACTCCCAGAATTCCCCAGCCAGCATTCGCTGGCTGGGAAATTCTGAGAGTTGAAGTCCAGACATCTTCAAGTTGCCAAGGTTGAGAAACACTGACATAGATAGATGATAACAATAATAACTTGTGTTTTAGTAGATAAGATCAAATTAAAACCTAATTAATTCAAGAGAACTGGTATCTATCTCAACATGGGACTCACCTCAAAGCATGCTCGGTACACATACTAAAAATCCTCACCTGAAATGAAGCTGGCTGGCTCCACCCATGGATCTGTGCCCGTCCATGTTCCTGCCAGATGTGTGAGCGGATCTCACCATACAGCTCTCGCCGCTTCTGCTGTGGGGAGCCATCAGCCCTGTGTTAAATGGACGAATAATCCAATCCATTACAAAACAGATAAGCTTGTAGTATTCTAGGAGAAGGTGCGTGCCTGCATAAAGACTCAAATCATCACTCCCAGTTAGAGTGGAAAAAATATTTTTAGATTAAAGGAGAGGGGAAAATACAGGCAGTCCTTTACTTATGACCATAATTGAGCCCAAAATCTTTGTTGCTAAGTGAAACATTTATTGTGAATTTTGCCCCATTTACAATATGTTGTGCCACAGTTGTTAAGTGAATCATTATAGTTGTCAAGTTAGTATCATAGTTGTTAAGTGAATCTGGCTTCCCCATTGATTTTGTTTGTCAGGAGGTCACAAAATGTGATCACTAGATCCTAGAACGCTGCAACCATCAAAAAAATATGCCAATTGCCAAGCATCCTAATTTTGATCACATGACTATAGGGATACTGCAAGGGTCTTAAATGTGAAAAATGGTCATGTCACTTTTTTCAGTGCTGTTGTAGCTTTGAATGGCCACTAAACTCACTATTATAGCAATAGCAGTTAGACTTATATACCGCTTCATAGGGCTTTCAGCCCTCTCTAAGCGGTTTACAGAGTCAGCATATTGCCCCCA